CAGGGGAAGGCTTCTGGCTTTTTCCTCTGCCGGGGCTCTTCAATGGCGGCGAGCTGCAGGCTAAGCTTCTTCTTTGGCTTTGTAGTCCAGCGTCAGCGAAGAGATGATCTTCGTCGCTGAAGGAGAAATATACTGATGAAATGACGCTCTGAGCCGACTTATATAGAGGTCGGCTCTGCCCATTCTGGTGGGCTAGAGCACCATTGGTTTGTGCAGCTACACAAACGTGAACAAATCAGGCTTCAGTATCAGTGTAAACAGGAGTTTCCACATACACAACGTGTTCGAAAGGGAACTCAGAATACACCTTACTGATGATGCAAACTATATACATGCACGCAGATGAAACCAGAATACTGCACGTAAACATTTCCCATAAAGAAAACACTTAACGTGGTCTATTGTCTCATGACCAAATTCAGTGTCTAATTAATAAAATATACTATGTACAGAAAAGCAGATGAGTCCAGAATATTTACACAAACCACAAAGTTTCACCTAAGCCTTTCTCTCCCATAGAAAACCAAGCCTGGTAAAGTTAGTTTTAGGTTCGATATTCGCTATTAGGGGTAGTGTTGTCTAATATCTCACCTTAGACAATACTACCCTTAAGTGTGTACAGTACACAAATATTTTTAAGAAAAAAATTACAGTAATTCCCCAAAATGTTTTTCTTTTCGAGTTCCAAGTACTGTAGTATATTCCTAGTGACCAGACATACTTATTAGAGCTGAAATTTTCCAATATCTTCCTTACTGTACATACAGTTGTAATGTCTGATTACTTTTCTTAGGGAATTCATTATTATTAATTCATTCAGGTTTTGAGAGGACTCGAATCTGAAAATTCGAAGTCCACCTGATTAGAACTGATTTCAAATTTTAATAGTTTACACCTTATCAACGGTCGTCCAGCGAGACGTTAATGTCCATGTATCTTAACAATCTGACTATGTGTATTTTCCTTGGCCACAGGTCAATACAATTATGATGATTTGTAAGCTCCTAGTGAGATAACGTGATCTTGGCAAGGTTTGACTTTAAAATTATACGACACCAGACAATTGAGGGAATTCCGTTGCTGATTGGTTACTGAGATTGCGTCAGGATGGCGTCCCTTTGGGGAAGCCCTTCCGGAGATTGGTTGGTTTCTTGATGACGCAGAGGCTTGAGCAGTTCTGCTGAAAAGTCTGAGTTTGCAAGACTTTAAGTTCTTTGAAGATCTCTGACAATCACGAAGTTTCAACTGAAGTGTTTGAGTTTTAGATGACCGATCGCTTTGATGGTAAGCGTGTGAGCACAAGTTGGAGTGCTCTTAACACGGTGAAAAGCGAAGAAGCAAGCAAGCAGGCAATTGAATCTGTGTTGCAGTGGGGTTTTGACCTGCGGCACACGTCCGTCCCACGGCGCGATCTTCCAATCGACTTCTTGCGAGGCGGAGCGTGCATACATTAACAAGAGGCTTCAATTCATCACATGAGGACATCTATAAAAGTTGTGTTAATACTTCTATAAAGTCTCTTAAATGCAAGTATTCGTGCCCATTCGTTCAAGATTAAACTTCACATATTACAACATTTTAATAACCTTATTTCCTAAAAAGGGGTAATAAAACACTGATTAAAGTTGCACCGATTACATGAAACACGTTCAAGCATATATAAGACATACAACATATTATTTGTGAATATGGTTGCCCTGTTATGCGCATAAGTGATTATCTGTTGAAATTGTCTGTTGTAAGTTTCATGTCCCTTTGTCTGTGACAGGAGAAAAGCGCACTTTTCTGAAAGTAGTAAAAGGATGCGTCCCTTTTTTGGAATGCAGGGGGAAAAGGGGAGGTGTCCTGAGGTCATGCCCATGTCACGAGTGTATATCTGCCATTCTTCTCTTGGACAGGGAGCTCTTAATCTGGTGCTTTCTGTTTATCGGATTTAGCAATTTATGCGTTAAACGGTCATGGGGTCCGGGCAAGTCTGTCGCTGGAACATTTCCAGATACCATGTTCTTTGTTCTGTTGTTTATTAGCTGGTTTATTTATGCTGAAGCCGGTCAACGTTACACTGCACATCTGGTCCCTGAAAGCCCGTAAAACAAAGATAGTTTGTATCCTAGTTTGAGTTAGGGTTTAAGCAGTTCAGATCCCCCCTAAGGGATAAGGACCAGGCCTTGACCGGAAGCAGGTCCAGACAATTAGGTGCCCTGTTGATCATTGATCTTCTTTACGACCGTAGATAGCTGGGGAGGAGAGTCCTTAGTTTTTCGGGTGGAATGCGGAGATTCAATCGTTCATTTGTGCGATAGTCACAGAGGCCTTACACAGTACATAATTATTCTTAGAAAAATTACTGAATTTTTTTTTTTTTTTTGTTCCAAAAAAATACATTGGACGTTTTAATTCTGTGAGTGGATTGTCAGAAAGTCTCTTGGGCATCGTGCGATAGCTCGTCTTCTCTGGTTAAAATTTGCAGCTACAATACACTTAGGCGGTTTTGAATAAATAGTTTTATGACTATGTAAAGTGGTTGCATATTGTTAAAACTAATCGGGGTAGTGATATTTTGTAGGACTGTCGACTCTATAGAACAGTGGCAAGGGAAAGCGAATGTCTGGAGAATATCGAACCTAAAACTAACTTTATGATGCTAGAAAAGCGATTAGAAAGAAAATGCAGAGCATTGCGTTCTTCTGACCTCATCTGCTTGCCTGTATTTTACATCATCAGTAAGGTGTATACTGAGATCTGAGGTCTTAGGTTTATGTCTCTGAATTAGTTCATTGAGGCGTGTTAAGCATCGTTGGGGAATCCTGGAGTGTGACCTATGAGGGAAACCCCAGTATTACAACTCGGCGTCACACAAGCCATGATTTAAAGTTAAGGAAACTAAGCAACCGAAAACAATGTATGTCTTAGATGTAATGTTAATTCTGTCATCATTTAAATGTTTTTTTCAAAAAAACGTTCTTTCTTTCTTCAATATTCTCCAGACCCAGAGAGAATGAGGTATGATTTATCTGACCCTGCCAGACACATTGCATTGAAAGAAACCAGCTATTGGGAGCGCAAGTGATACTTCTGAGTTAAGCATCTTCAGTATGTTTAGAATGCTGCTGTGAGACTTTTAACAAACACTAGTAAATGGGATCATATAACTCCTGTGTTGATATCTGTGCATTGGCTACCTGTAAAATATTGATTACATTTCAAGGTATAAATGTTTGTGTATAAAGCTTTACATGATCAGGCTCCTGAGTATATAAGGGATATGTTAATTCCACCGCAGCGATCATTGCGCTCTTCTAAGAGGCTGTTTTCCCACGTTCTCGTCGTAGACAATGTGGAGATCGTGCCTTTTTTTGTAGCGGCCCCGGTACTTTGGAATGCTTTGCCATTAAAATCCTCATCAAGCATGGACATTTTTAAAAAGGACTTAAAGACTTACTTGTTTTACCAGGCTTTCGGCATTTGATTGGTAGGACAACTGTGAATGACTTTTCTTGTGTTTTAGATTTTATGCTTCTTGTGTACAGCACTTTGGTCCATTTTTATGGTTTTGAAAATGCTTTATAAATACAATTGCGTTTAGTTATGTGTCTTTAACTACAGTACTATGTACTTACATTTAAATTAATATTTGATATAATGCACTTGTTTACATACATGTTTTTACATTGTAATTACATTTAAAAACACCCTTATTTATCTATATAATTAATTTCTGTATTTACACCTATAATTACACTGTCGACCCAACACCTTCACCTTAACCCACCCTTAATGATGATGATATGATGATACAACTTTATTGTCATAAAACTAACCATACCAACAAACCTGTCCCTGAACTTAAAGGGTTAGTTCACCCAAAAATTTTAATCAGCCCATGATTTACTCACCCTCAAGGCATCCTAGGTGTATATGATTTTCTTCTTTCAGATGAATCCAGTCGGAGTTATATAAAAAAATGTCTTTGATTTTTCAAGCTTTAGAATGGCACTCAGCGGGCGTTACAGTTCATCAGTACAAAAGAAGTGAAATTAAGCGCATACATCCATAGTAAAACGTGCCTCACATGGCTCCGGGGGGTGAATGAAGGCCTTCTGTAGCGAATCCATGTGTTGTTGTAATAAAAATATACATATTTAAAAACTTATAAACACTTTTCTGTCACTTCCTGTAACTGTCGTACGCACGTTCATTTCGGACGGATGACGTAGGATGTATGGGTAGCGCTACGCATATGTCCTACGTCATCTGCCCGGAACGGCTTCCACGGACGACAGTTAGCGCAAGCTACAGAAAACTGGTTTAACATTTTAAATATGGATATGTTTCTTACAAGAATGCATCGATTCACTACAGGATGTCTTTATTCACCCCCCGGAGCCATGTGAGGCACGTTTTACTATAGATGTATGTGCTTAATTTCACTTCTTTTGGACTGATGAATTGTAACACCCGCTGAGTGCCATTCTAAAGCTTGGAAAATCAAAGACATTTTTTAATATAACTCCAACTGGATTCGTCTGAAAGAAGAACGTCATATACACCTAGGATGCCTTGAGGGTGAGTAAATCATGGGCTAATTTTCATTTTTGGGTGAACTAACCCTTTAACCGTATCCCACCCACCTCAATAGCTGCAAAAGTGTTTTGCCATTCAACATGAACCTACCTTTTATTTTTATTTTATTTTTTTGGCACTAGTTAAAGTCCCTAATATAAAGTAATTTAAAGGACCAATGCATCAAATGTGTTTTATTTCCAAAAACAGTAGACAATAGACAATAGACAATAGCAAGTATTATATCAGTGGTAATCAACAACATGCTATAGATGCTGCTGACAGAGCTCAGGTTGTATTATATATTTATTTAATTAATGAATAACTGGAATTACATTTCATGTACAACAAGAAATAAAAATGTATACTCAAGGGCACATAAGTGATGTGGATAATTGTCACATAATTGTGTGAAACTTTTATTCTTCTTTTTGTAGACTGTGGGACTGTAATATTGGAGAGGAAGGCTGTGCTGCTCTGGCTTCAGCTCTTAGGTCAAACCCCTCACACCTGAGAGAACTCAATCTGAACTATAATAAACCAGGATGTTCAGGAATGAAACAACTCACTGCTCTACTGAAGGATCAGCATTGTAAATTGATTAAATTAATGTGAGTGCAGATGGTTTATTATATTTTCTCATTTATATCTAAGTTAATATGTTAGTTTTCGGTTATTTACGTCAAAGTGCTTTTTTAACTCTCAAACCCTGTGAGATGTAATTTATCTTTCTTTTTTTTTCAATAACACAAGTGTACCAATTATCCGCTTTATACATGTCACAGATACATAGCCACACACTTTTTCTACTTCAACAACTGCTTATCAATATTTATGACTTTGCTCTTATACCTGTTAATTGATAAGAATTGTTATAAGTGACAGGAGATTTGTTACAGGCTGTTTGACTGCAGTATTGGAGAGGAAGATTGTGCTGCTCTGATTTCAGCTCTGAGATCAAACCCCTCACACCTGATAGAATTGAATCTGAACTACAATGAACCTGGAGAGTCAGGGGTGAAACTGCTCTCCGCTCTACTGAAGGATCCACAATGTAAACTGGAGAAACTCAAGTCAGTATTCATAATTTCCTTTTCTTATTTTTTGGAGAATAACACAAACAAACTTTGGGACAATGATTTCTTTTTTCTGTATATTCCTTGTATAACTAAAGCCTGAGAGTCATACTTGTATGAAGATAAAGGGTGTTTTCACACTTGAGTCCTCTTTTAAAAGAACCAAACCCAGACCCCTTTAAAGTACACTGAACAAAATTATAAACGCAACACTTTTGTTTTTGCCCCCATTTTTCATGATCTTTGACGATAGTGGTCCTGACAGAATTTATGGTAACACTTTACTTGAAGGGGTGTGCATAAGACTGACATGACACCTTCATAATCATGACATGACACCTACATAATCATGACATGACACATGTCATGAATATGAAGGTTTTTTATGCATGTTTATGACAACTGTCATTAAGTGTCATTTGCTCAGTTATGTCATTTTTAATGCAAAGATGACATTGTTTGAGATGTCTTTGTTATGGGCTATGGTTAGGGGTAAGGGTAGGGTTAGGTTAGGGTTAGGTCAAATAATGTCATATTTGCATTAAAAATGACATAACTGAGCGAATGACACTTAATGACAGTTGTCATAAACATGCATAAAACCTCCTTCATATTCATGACATGTGTCATGTCATGATTATGAAGGTGTCATGTCAGTCTTATGCACAGCCCTTCAAGTAAAGTGTTACCGAATTTATTCTATGGGGAGTTTTGGAATGTTAAATCAAAAATGGCTACTTAAATGGACATAGTCATTAGTGAAACTAAATGACTTAAAATTTTGTGGTACGTTTGTGTTTGTTAGGCTGTATGTGTGATATTTTTCTTCAATCTTGCTGTAGGTTGTCTAATTGCAGTATTAAAGAAAAAGGCTGTGCTTCTCTGGCTTCAGCTCTGAGATCAAACCCCTCACACCTGAGAAAGCTGGATCTGAGCTGTAATAAACCAGCAGACACCGGAGCGAAGCAGCTTTCTGCTCTACTGAAGGATCCACATTGTAAATTGGAGAAGCTCAAGTGAGTGTAATTATTTTTCAGTATTATCAAATAGATGTGCTTGCTGCTTGTGTGCACTCTTGCACTTGCAACAAACTGCAGCTGAAGGGCATAAAAGTGAGAACTCTTGTAATTTCATGACTTCTGTGTTGGTTAGCACAGCACTTACACACACACCCCATCTAACCTTGTTCCTCTATTCCCTGCTGAGACTATGTGGGTGCACATTCACACCATTAGTGTACTGGATTCAGACACACACATCCATTCCATCTTTCATTCCCTAACAATAGTTCACGTTGTGCATATTAACACATACACACTTAACACTCAAATGTTCATGATGAATTTTCTGTATTGGTCTACTGTGCTGAAATGTAAGTGTAAAGTATATTTCTTCTTTCTTGAGGCTTTGGAAATGCAGAATTGGAGAACAAGGCTGTGCTGCTCTGGTTTCAGCTCTGAGATCAAACCCCTCACACCTGAGAAAACTCAACCTGAACTATAACAAGCTTGGTGATTCAGGAGTGAAGCTGCTCTTTGATCTACTGCAGGATCCACACTGTAAATTGGAGAAACTACTGTAAGCTTATTTTAATATATTATGTATTAAAGAACAATTTGGTAAAGATGTCCAAGCAACAATTTACCCAATTTACTTAAATTGTATGGACAGAAAAACACTTGATACATTTTGCAAACTATCTCCTTCCCTTCCAGTCGGTCACTCTCAATGTCACGTCGGATGACCGACAAATTGGGATCTCGCTTAGAGAGACCAATCTACTTCGAGTGTAAACTAAACGAGCCAATGCACATTGGCATGTGATTATTGCATCCAGCTGCCGCTGATCACAGCGTGAGTATAAGTAGGCAGCCGGTGCAGCGCATATTCAGCTTTTCGCTTCGGAGCTGAGCGATCACATCGTTCTGCTCCTGACTACTCTACTGAGAGAAGAAGACTGAACGAGTTCAGCGCGCTCTTTGAGAGCTCTTCGTTTTGGTGGCACGGCACTTCAGCGGTGGTGGTTTCCCGTGTCGAGTGGGTTGCACACATCAGGCTGCACTACCCCGTTTGTGTTGCAGGTGATCATCTCCCCTGTGCACTTCAGCACGTTAAAAGAGCTTTTTCCCTAAAAGAGCATTTACGGATGCGTCTTTTTAAAGATGACGTTGCGTGGCAAACTTGACGTTACGTCTTTGTAAAGACGATGTGGGTCTTGCTATAGACAACGTATCACCCGGGCGTTTCTGGATGCAGTCGTTACCTGGCGCTGGGTGATGGTCATGATCGCTGCCTCACGTACCTGGGCATTTAGCACACTGAGGTGGCGTTTGTGGATGAGTCATGTTCTCATTGTGGGAAGATGATCATCTCGGAGTCGCGGGCCAGGGGGCTACTTCAGGCAGTAGCACGGGTGGTCTGAGGGTAACCATAATGGCAAACCCTCCAGGGAGCCAACCCTCGGGGGACCATCACTCCTCTTGCACTCCGCAAACAGTTGAGCTGCCAATGGAACGTGCTGGGCCCTCTACAAGGAGCGTACCAGCAGTATTCTTTGGCGCTCCTCCAG